ATATGTAAAGAATCTAGATTATGGAGAAGAGACTAGGAATTGGAGTAAGAATATTTCAATTTCAAGTCTGACTTTGCTGCTACTCATTAGGTAAATTTCAGGTCAATCTTCCTTCCTCACAGCCCCATTTTTTCATCTGTAGGATGATAGAATTGAACTTGGTTACTACTAAATCACATAGGCTTTTCAGATTTCAATATGCCTGTGATCTGTGTGATTCATCCTCACCTGTGCCAGGTTCTGTTGCAGCGCTGGGGCTGTGAGAGTGATTGAGCCATGAAGTGGACCCAGGTGGGGATGGAAGTGTCTGGCGCTCCTGCATAATTCGAATGCCAGACACAGCTGACATCAATGCATTTGCCAGCAGTGACCTTGTGGAGTATTTTCAAATGCTGAACATTTATTCCCATAGATTTTTCTCATTATTTTCTGCTTCATTGCACTCTTTTTGTTTTAAAAATTGTTTTGGAACATTTTCTATTACTTGAAACTTTGACAGTATTGGTAATGTTTCCCTCCCACTCTGTGATTTAATATAGAATTAGTCTCTTTCCAGAGCATTTACATATTGCAGATGTGGGCCTGTTTTGGTTTATTCCAAAATCAGTTTTCCTCCCGCTGATATAACGGTCCAAAGAACCAGTTCTTCTAAATTTATTTGGCTCTATTATCATTTCAATAATAAATTGTGAAATAAAATTATATATTCAATATAATCCTAAGGAAGGGCATCTTTCATCATTGTAAGATGAACCAGTGCTGAAATTCAGGGGCAGTAGACAAGCAAACCCAATTTGTGGGATAGTGGAGAATTCATGAATAGAGTTTGATTTAGAACTTAAATGAGTTTTCTACTGAATATGGAGTGGGACATTCTTAGAGAAAGAACAATGTGAGGTAAAGTAAAATAAGAAAGGCATTGGCCATATTCACAGACATAGCTTGATCTCCTGTTTGAACCAGATTAAAAGTACATTGATGTAAAAGCATAATGAGTATCTCTTTGGAGATGATGAAAAGTGTTTGGAACTAGACAGAGATACTGTTTGTGTAACACTGTGAATAAATACCACTCAATTGTTCATCGTACAAGGTTATTTTAACATTCGGTGAATCTTCAATAAGAACAAAAAAAGAATAAAATGACCATAAATGGTGGGTCCTATATGAATTTCTAGTTATTGGTGGTCTTTGAAGTTAATGGAATCCCAAAGAGTTCACAAGGTTAGCAAAACAAATACTCTCAAATAAAGAATATTGTGACAATATGGGGGTGAATTGAATGGGAATATGCACAAGGTAGCGAGACTGGCTACATTAATTTTTTAAATGGTTACTTTGAGGCTTAAAACTAAAAGTTATCTTTTCTTGGAACAGACATCTGTGGAAATTTCTAAACATAAAGTTAAGAAAATGGATTAATGAATTGCACACACATATCACCCAATTTCAGTTGTTTTTAACATTTCATTGAATTGATTCCATCCGGTACTCCACCCTGATTCAACTTCCTGCACATTGTGTTTCACTTTGTATCCTGGAATGTTCTAAACAGACTCTAGACATCACAGTATCACCACCTAGGATCCAAGGAGGTTCCCCAAAGAGCAGGTAGGGAACTTAATTCATCATACCCACAAAGTAGACTGTAAGTTCATTGTAGGTTCGTCTCACACACACACAAAAGAACTTTCAGGATGCATCAGTGAGAAGCATGTTCTAGTTTTCGTGTTGCTGAGACACAATGCAGACAACCACAATTTAAAAAGAGGAGGGTTAATTTTTCTTGTGTTTTAAGGGGATTATGTCTGGACAGGTGGCCCCAAGGCAGAAACATCATGCAGATGTGTGGTGGAACAAAGCTGCTTAGTTCATGGCAACTGGGAAGCAGAGCAGGAGAGCAGAGTCAGAGAAGAAGGGTGAGGAACCAGACACAGACCTCAAGGGCACACCTGCATG